TCATGTTTGTAGCCCCAACAGAACCTATAATCACAAACAAAGGAACAGATTGGACAAATGCTTTACGAGAAAAATTTATATTTCATTCAAGGCAAGTACCGGTACCTCTGAAAAGTAAACTATATTGTCTCATAATACACTCTGAAAACTGATCCTGCAGTTTTTGAAGTCACATCAATGCTCTTTATCAAGTTCAGATGGCTAACACCATTGTTCAACAAATTCTCATTGTTTGCACCAAAGGAAATAAAAAGAGCAGAATATTGAGCATTTGGATATTAATGTTAGGAAGGGTTAGGTAACACACTCACGATTTTTGTTCCCTGTTGTCATTGTCTTGTCTAAATCATCAGCATTGTTCATGACATATGTAGATAAGTCCTTTACATAAACTCCAACATCGGGTCTCTCTTTGACCTAAAGCGCCAAGAAATAGAAATTTGACACAGTTCTGAGTAAAACCAGTGTAACATTGGAAAGATGATATAAAAATGGTGCTTAAGTTTTCTGTCCTCAAAGGTTTTTTAAAAAAAAACCACTACCACAACTTGCCTCTAATTTTGCACTCTGATCCTTGCCCAACAAGTCCCGCACGTTTTCATTGTAGATTTCCAAATATGACACTCGTACAAGAAACCTGGATAGAACAGTTATTGTTTGTATCAACTGAAATGCTAATATCAAGAAAGATAAAAATGTGTGTATTAAACAATTTCACCTTTTTAATATCTGACCTACCTTATGTCACCAGCTACTTTGGCAATATGTCCAAATATATGTGCAAATGAGTTTGGGATTATTCCACGTAGTTCAGGAACTGTCCTGACCCCTTCCATTGTAAAAGTTTTCCCTGTCCCTGTTTGTCCATATGCAAAGATTGTACCTGGTTTTTAAGAAAAAGATGAGTCAGTGCATACTGCTTCATGTGATGTGACCCCTGGTCTGTCCACTCAAATGCCTAGATCATTTTCTAGGAGATTTTAATACTTTCTTTACACCCTTAACACCCTAACATCAGTATGCATATTCTCCATACTGTTCTCTTTACATTGTTTAATTATCAAGAGCCTCTCTAGTTGGTGATCATTTCCTTTATTCTTGTGAACTACATGTGTAACTCAGGGGTGATATTATTAGGAGGAATTAGATCTAATCACCTTTTGAGTCAAAGAGTTAATGCAGAAAATAAGCAGACAAAGTGATCACATACTGATACAGGCCCAGACAGGCATTTGAGACAATCAAGTATCCAGGGACATTTAATTCAAGTATACAGTCAAACCTGTACTAAGCCGCACCATATTGACCCTTTAACTCCCATGAGTGACCAAGACATAATTTCTCCTCTCATTACATCAATACAATATCAAACAGACAAGCAATGAGAATAAAGAACAATATCAATTAGGGAATTCATAGTTGATTCAGTATCAAATTCTCTGAACTAACATCATAAGAATTATATGGCAGATAGTAAAGAGAATTACTAATGAGATCTTGGGAGTTAATGGATTAAGCGGTGACCCTGTATTTACAAGCAGTTGGTTGTGAAAGTCCCAAATTATTCCCCATTGTAATTTTCACCTCTATTAAGCAATCATGATCACCCTTTACTGAGCTCCAAAAAGCTTTTTTTGTATTGTTCTCTTGCAATATTGAACAGTCACTTAGAATGAACCACTTAAATAAATCTAAGAATAACCTTTCATGAAAAATTTGATCCATGTTTTTCTCCAGAAATTAATCTTGGTAGGGTTTTTGAGCAAGTTTTTGCACATTAAGTGGTCAATTATGACATAATATGATGTCATGTTTTTTTATCCTTTTTTATGATAACTTTGTTCTTAGGACCCTATGTAAAGCGTCAACCTGTATCAAGCATTCATTTCTTTGATTGATTTACTGGTAATTGATTAATTTGATTGCAAAGTGGTTTGGTTTTTCAGTAAAGGTGTAAATTATCTTGTTTCACATAAATTTTTGATATTTGATTTGTAGACATGAGTTAACCCTTAAACTCCCAAGATCTCAGTAGTAATTCTCCTCTCTGTCTTCTGCATAATTGTTTTGATGTCAATTTGGAGAATTTGATATTGGATCAATTTGTAATCCCATAATTGATATTTTACTTTATTCTCATTACTTGTCTGCATAATATTGTCTAGATATAGTAAGGAGAAATTCTATTGTGGTCACTCACAGGAGTTAAAGGGTTAAAAATGCTAGGTCATTCTAGGTTAGAGAACTTTTATCATTCTATACTTTTATAATTCTATAATCCTAATGTCTATTGTTGTCTCCTTGGAAAATATCTGATATATCAGTATTCCAAAACCCTACCCCCTGCTCCCTCCTCCCTTCCTCCACCTCCCCCTGGCTGCAGATAACTGTGACTCAATCAGGAATAAGATATCAATGGAACAATCACTGTTGCATGGTGAATAAAGTTAAGACATTATACAGTAAGAGTCAGAATATTAATTAAAACACTGAACTTGCTAGCAAATCCATTTTCCATCCAAAATATACACCTCATGGGAAAAACTGTTCTCCCCCATCCACTCCAAAGAAAAAAAAGGAACTAACGGTGATTTTAGCAACAAATATCAAAATCGTTTAATCATGAAAAAGCGTGTGGTTTAAGAGCTAGAGCTGTTGATAGAAAGTAATTGTAAACCAAAAAGACTTTTTGAGAAATTTAACCCTTTAACTATATAGTTCGCATATCAATTTTGACGATGATAACGCACCCTGACAAGGCAAATAAAGGTGAGAGCAAAGGCATTTAACTGTAAATCTCAGTATGAGAAGGTCTTCAAATGTACAATATATATGTATTTCGCACTGTTCATCGTAGTTTAACGAAAATTTTAGCAAGAGTTCTCACCATTGTAACCCTCCAGGACACAGTTGACAATCGGCCTGGCTGCATCGTTGTAAACATCAACTTGCTTCGTATCTGGGCCAAACACTCTGTCATAAGTGAACTGTTTTGGTGGTTCCCCTGACCGAGCACCAGAGTTCTTCACGGTTATCATTCCTCGACCTTCTTCGACGTTCACTGCCACACCACAGTGAGAGGAAACCTCTTTCTCGTTCATGGGACGACATCGCACAACCACCCGAACGTTGTCCGACTCTGTGTCCACCTAAAAAAATACATCGATCATGAAAGATTTCCAAACATAACAAATTTCATCAGAAGTACACCCTTCTTTTGGCATTAAAGTATCATTCAAAATCATGATTTAGAGAAAAAATCTTACAGGCATAATGTTTGAAAGCTCGTAAAAATATTTAAATGTTTCTCAGCTGTTTATGGTATACATCATAGTGAAATATTCCAGTTTTTTTTTTTAAGTAGAGACACTTTCCGCCACATTGAATTTCTTGCCGAGGTACGTAGTCATGAACGCTCCGTTGCTTGGGCTTAGTAGCCGCGCTTTCACTGTAGTGTGTCGTGTGGGAAACAATCAACTGTCCAACATAAATCTTGACATCGCAATCTTGAAGAAGCCTTAGATATCTCATTGGCGAAGTGTGAAATTTCATCATATCCCTCGTAAGCTTAGAATGGACATTCCAAACTCTTTCTATAGCCTCTGTGATAATTCCAAAACTTGTGGCGACTTTTATGCGAGTTACCGTCCATTGACTGAAATGAAAATGAAATCCAAATATTGCTCTATAATGGTTAGATCAACCCGTTGCTACCCGTTATGTTTTTTCTTTTATTCTTATATCTTTTTGTCAGACCAGTGAATAAGAAGCGGCCTGTTGGTCTAGTGGCATGATTCTCGCTTTGGGTGCGAGAGGTCCCGGGTTCGACTCCCGGACAGGCCCTAAACTTATTATTTTACATAAAATAAACGTTTTTGTCACACTATTTTTTGAGAATATCAAGAAGTACATTCTCTGTAAACCATGATGAAAATTTATTCGAGCAAGTGCAATCAATTACAATTTTTCACAACGTATCAGCTCAGCTATAATCCACCGATAGCAACTTGCACAGAAACTAATTTTACTAGTTTTACTTTTGCAAGTTTTTAATTTTCTTTTCTTCACAAACGACCGAGATTCATGTTTTTGGACCACTGTTTATTCTGATTTGCGCTTTTCACCTTAAGTAAAAGAATGTCACGTTACCTAATTGGTCAATACCCTTGCTGGTTATTGGGTTACCGGTTACCTC